CTATCTGTTAATTTTGAACTACATGCCGTATCTGTAATGAGTGGTCTAAGCTATAAAACTGCTACTCCTGTTCATGTGCGCCTATCATTATCCATGATGCTTGTCTTTGCTTCTAAGCCTAATAGATTTTATGCATGTGCATTGTTCGTAATGTATTTCTGCTATTGTATCTTATTTTTCCAACACCAAGATGCTCATGTCAGTGCTTCTAAGCCTCATATATTTTATGCATGTACATTGCCCATAAAGGATTTTTGTTGTTGTATCATCTTGGGCTGCCTATCTCCTCACTAATCTAAGCCTACTGTCATACAGACATGTTAACAAATATAATAGCTAGATTGATGCACACAATCCCGCCTCAAAAGGCGCAACCAGGTGGCGCCCCAACCACTAGTCGGTATAAGAAAACCGACCAGCTATGTCGAGGTGGGCCAACTCCAATGCGTCATTTGGTCCGGGCGTGTCCGTTTAAGGCGAAACGGACACAAATCGTGACCCAACGTGCGGGAGCAAATGGACGCTAGTCCGTTTTTTATCCGCCATCGATCTATTTTCGGCCCAAATTTGGGCCCCATTTGCATTGAAACGGACAGGGTGCGGATGGGCGGGACACACGTCCTTGTTGTTCTCTGGCTCGTCTGTCAGTGGAATAGTCCCCTTTTCCCCTTCCCCTACGCGGCTTGCCCCAGCGCCTGCCCCCCGCCATAACCGTTGTCGCCCATTTTCCGACTGCTTCTTTGTTGTCCAGCCCGGCCACCCAAACCCCCGACGCATCCACAATCCCACCGCCCCTCCTGCTTTCGGAGAAGTTCTTGCCGGCGTTTGTGGGGTTTTGTCGCCGCATCAAGTACCAGGGAAACTATGTCAGCCGGCGACGAACATCGGCCACAACACCGTCCACCTGGCACTGCAAGGTTGTCTGTCGCCAGCCGTCAATGTTCCTACAAGTCTGCTACCTGTGAAAATAGGCCGGGGTCTTCACCGACCGCGTCTCCACCACGTCCACAAGGTGTTCGACAATTTGCCTGCAAGGTACGATGGATAGTGGGGACGAATAGTTTTTTCAACAGCTACATTTGTTCATCGGATGACAAAGAGCTCTATGCCGATTACTTTGAGGATTCCCCGCTCTTCAAACCCCATCTTTTCCAGCGCTGCTTCCGGATAGCGAAACATGTGCTCAATCGTATTTGGGAGGGAGTGGTAGCATATGGACCCATACTTTGAGTGCAAGGAGGATGCCCTTGGCAAAATTGGCTTCTTCGCTTACCATAGATGCATTGTAGCTATTTGTATGCTTGCATAAAGATCTTGTGGATGAGTACGTTTGTATGAGGTCTCAAATCAATGTACAGTTTTTGCAAGGCCATGGTAGCAGTGTTTGGCCCTGAGTATTTGAGGGAGCGAAATGCCGCAAATATAACCCCATTTTTGGCGATCAATGCAGATAGAGGCTTTTCGGGAATACTTGGCAGCATAAATTGTATGCACTGAAAGTGAAAGAACTATCCATTTGTTGGCAGGGGTAGTACAAGGGCATGTGAAAGGTTGCGTTGTCATACTAGAAGCGGTGGCTTCACAAGATCATTGGATATGATGCTCTTTCTTCGGCATGGCTGATTCTAACAATGATATCAACGTGCTTCAGTGTTCTTTAGTGTTCGCAAGGCTTGTGGAAGGCCACTGCCGAGAGGTCAACTTTGATATCAATTGCCATGATTACAACAAGGGATACTACCTAGCTGACAATATTTATTCTCAGTGGTCAACTCTTGTGAAGACAATATCCAACCTGGATGGAGAGAAACAACAGAGACTTGTCCAAAGCACAAGAGAGTGCTCGGAGGAACATGGAACGTGCTTTTGGTGTGCTTCATTCTCGATGGAGTATCGTTCGACACCCTAAACTGATATGGAGCACCGAGAATCTTTGGTAGGTGATGACTGCTTATATGATCATGCACAACAAGATCATGAAGGATGAACTTGATAACAACATATGCGACCAAGGGTTCGAATATCAGGGTGAAAATATATTGCCTGAGCACTAAGAATCGGCAATGTTTGAAGACGCTACCCAGTTCCATCATGAGACGCATGATTGACATACTCATATGCAAATCCAAAATGACTTGGTTGAGCACATGTGGAATGACATTGGCAACTAGTGGATGTACCGGTTCATTTTCTTTCCATGTATTCAAGACAATTTCGAATGGGTTGTAAATTTTATGTTTTTTATTCGGTTGCGAAACTATTTGCAATGTTTAGTTTATTTGGTAGTAAAACTATTTGCGATGTTTAGTTTAAAGATTGTCTGCATTTGACCTCTGATTGGCCATGACGGACCATATATGTTGGCTGTGTTGGGCGCACTGCCAACGCATCCAGAAAAACAGCCGGACACCACCCCTTTTCTCGATATAAACAGATAAAATACGAACAAAACGAACGTTTGTTTGGAGTTGTGCGTTGGAGTTGGCATGAGCTTCCATGCTGCAAATGCTCGGGAGAGAATTCCTTATTTAACACTATCTTAAATTTTTCTTGCCCTATTTGACACTGAAAAACTTTTTCTTCCTTATATAACAGAAAGTTTAAATTTTGTTCCTTTTGTGACACTTTCATCAATTTTGACTACTAATGGTGTTAAATGGCACCTGAAAAGATGACTTTACCCCTGATGCAATTTGTGACAAAAATTATTCAAACGACCAAAGAAGGCGTTATTTACATGGTTGAAGAAGCTGGCAGACATTTCGAATAAACGCTGGCCAACCAAGGTTAGTGGTCGAGTAAACAAAACAAAGTTGCCAACATAATTTAAGCTGGATGTTAGTTATCGCGTGTGCAGTCAGGCCATCACTGCAGTGCATTTCTTCTTGTTAATTAGCCGTTCAAAAACAAGTCAACCAACCTACATACTGGTGTCTTGCAAAGATGCAGAGACGCCTGCACGCACCAAGCAACATCAGTCCATAAGGGCAGGAGATGATCGACCTCAAAAGGTATGCTCTACACGTAGAAAAAAAGGGTTTCTATATTACCTCAGCATCTGAACGTATATTGTTTCTCCATGGACCTGAAATACCTGACAGTGTCATGGTGCACTGAAACTTCATTGTTCATGTAACCACCAAAAATATTGTTGCCTTTTTATTCCTGTGAATAATGCACTAGGGGTAAAATCGTCTTTTCACATGTCAATTAACAACGTCAGTACTCAAAACGGATGAAAGTGTCAAAAAGGGAACAAAATTTAGATTTGGTGTTATATAAGGAAAGAAAAGTTTTTCAGTGTTAAATAAGAAAACAACATTTAAAATAGTGTTAAGTAAGAAATTCTTTCAATGCTCGGGGTTTGTCCGCGCAGGCGACTCGGGCCATCTTGACCACGCCCAAGAGCATGTCTCACTACGCTCCGCCTCCACGACCACGTTTCTGATGCCGACGCCGCCGCAAGCTGGGCCCACCTGGCAGTGGCTGTAACCGTCGGGCCGGCGAGCCAGCGGACCGGCCCGGGCCGAAGGGCATGTAGATTAGCTTAGACAGCCATCGTCTGTAGCATGTGTCCATGTCACCTAAAGACTGTAATGTAGGCACCTTTTTTTAGATGTCTATACAAGAAACCGTAAAAATGCATGAAGTACGGCATGTATGATCTACCACCGTTCTTCTTGTTTGCTGCAGTGAGCATAATGAACTCGACCCTGTCATCCTCGTAGTTACCGTCACCGGCCGCCGCCCCATGTCGCTGCACCTGCAGCGGGAGAAGAAGAAGAAGCGCGAGCTCCATCTCCGGCCGTCGCCACCCCCACCGTCTCCACCCTCGGGCCGGTCATCACCTCTCTCCCCGCCCCAAACAATAACCACTGCCCCTGCCCTCTTCCGGGCACCACACGTCCTGCCTTTCTTCAGTGAGGATGACGATGCAGGGGATGGTCTCGTCCAGATCCGTCCAGCGATCGAGAAGAAAAAAAATCACCGGATTGGGTTCCTGGAGAACGGGATCTATGGCGCTTTGGGGGAGAAACTGAAAACTACAAACACCTGAGCGTCTGCCGAAATTGCAGACGCCCTTCTTCTCTCTCCTCCTTCTTTTTCCTCCACGTAGACCGTCTGTCGATTGCTTAGTTTCATTTTGTTTCGCGTATAAAATTTGGTCAAAGTCAAACTACACAAAGTTTCTTTTGCTCCGCGTATAAAATTTGACAAATTTACATTAAAAATATGAACATCTATAATACTAAAACTATATAGTATGAAAATACAGTTTATCGTGCATTTGACAATATTAAATTCATATTATGAATGATGATGTTTTTCAATATAAAGTTAGCCAAACTTTATAAAGATTAATTTTGATCAAATTTTATATGTAGACTAAAAAGAAACGGAGGGAGTATCGACTATTGGGAAGTAACAGTCCGGAGGATGGCAATTTGGGAAGAGCAGCGGTCGACTCCACTACCCAATTCGAGTGCCACTGCTTGCTTCTTATTCTAATTCGATGGGTCCCACATGGAGGAGAGTGCATGTACCACCAACTCAAATCTGTATAAGTAGGAAAGAAGATGCATGGGTATAGATTTAAGTTGCAAATCCAAAATTAGTTCCTGCTACATCCTGTCACAAAGGCGAGTTGCTACAGGGAGCTGCTTTCAGAGAAATAATGTAGAGTATGCACGCGCATATTTTGCTATGTAGAGTATGCAGCAGAAATCCACTACTTCGATTTTACTTTTTCCTCATTTAATTAGCTAGTAGGAGTATTATTCATCTGTTATAAGAAATCAAGTGGAGATTATATCGCGCTCCTATCAACGAGACTGCAGTCTGAAGCCAAAAAACCAAGAACATCTGTTAAAAGGAAAAGCACATAGTTCCCACCCAAAGACCATCAGAGTTCTGTTTATTTCTGCTGCAAAAGAATGACTTGAAGGACCTCGCTATTATCTCAAAACAAAAGAAACAAACAAAGAACTTATGCTGACAGTTCAATTTATACTAGCATCCATGCATGCTGTGTTAGATCCTTTCACAAAGGTGAGTTTCGCCAGATAACTACTTTCGGCGAAATCGTGTAGGCTACGGTGAGGACGAGCCCCTTCATTCTCGGTGCCGCCTGCACCTTTATTAACCATATTTCTGCAAGCGCTAGAGTCCTGCGAACAAAGCATATATTTTTATCGGCAAGGTTTGATGATATATTTCACAATGCAATGTTACGGACGATGGGATCCACACAAACCTGCAGAAGTTGGAGCATTTGCTCCTCGATGGTACCGCGCATAGCCAGGGTCTCAACATTTATTGGACGGGTTGCACCCATTCTATGTGCGCGACTAATAACTTGCTCCTCCATACTAATAATCGCAAATCGCAAAAAAAAAAGGACCATCATCAATACCGGTCAGTCACACACACGCAAGTGGTGACAACTTGATAGTTAATAAGACATTCCCCCAAATGGTTAACTTCAGTGCCAAACACCAGTAGGAATACAAATTACCCATGGTTGATAGATGTAAAGCAGTATGATTTTTTTTTAGCTATAGCATTTGGTAGTCAATTATTTTATACTCCCTCTGTAAACTAATATAAGAGTGTTTAAATCACTATTTTAGTTATCTAAATGCTCTTATATTAATTTACAGAGGAAGTACGTTTATTTGCATCCCCAAAAAAATGTGTACCCTATTAGTCTAATGCATGACCAAATGACAGTATGTCAGTAATTCAGCAATTAGATTACCTCCTATCCCATATGGGTTCCATCAGAAAAACATGATTCACAAAACTCAAATCAAGGCCCAGTGCTGCAGTGCCATCCATCAGTAAAGCCATGCATGTTGGATCCTCTTTAAACTTCGTCAATGCACTTCTCTGAAAAGAATTGTGGCAATACCCAGATGAGTCACAAAATGTTTTTGACACATGCCAATCATTTACCATATTTTCCCTAATTACAGAGTCAAATTTGTTCCATTGTAAAAAGGAGGACGTGCAGGCCATCAGGGTAGTGGAAGGGAATGGGAGACACTAGATAGGAAGGGACAGGGATGAGAACAAGATGGGGAAACGTGGTATACATGATCACCAGTAAGGTCCACCAAGCCAAAAAAAAATTGCCATATCCCAGTTCAATAAAAATGTTGCCTTTTTGGGGAAAGATAAGCACGCTGTAGCAAATACACCTAGTAACCTAGTTACCTAGATATGTGTTACATTACATACCTTAGTGCCTAAAGGCATGGGACTGTACATTCCAGCATATGTTATTCCAGCAATAGTCAGCTGAACAGAAGGATCATTAACCAACTAATTCATACTCTTAAGTAAAAGACAAGCATGGGCATTACAATTTACCTGCTGCTCAATAACATGAATATGCTCCAGAAACTGAGAGAATATAATTACTTTGTCAGGCAATGTCTGTGGTAACCTGGTCTGCAGGTTATCATCATCTTGATAAGACGATGTAGTAGCAGGACCAGCACCAATGGTTATGTTAGTCGAGTGCACATGTTTCATGTTAGCTTCTCGCAAACTTCTCAACTTGTCAATCAAGTAAGCAACTTTGCTGCTAGTCGTTGACTGCCAATCTGGATCCCAGTCATCCTGCATAAAATGGAGAAAATAAATACTCTGACAACAAAGTGCCTGAAAAAATTGCATGGCATCACATAGCTCTGAGTGCAGACCTGCTTATATGAAGGCTGCAGTTCAATTAGATCCTTTGGGACTGGCCATTTTGGGTTCGGATTTTCTGGACGTGCACGAGTTTCGGGAGACTGCATCTCGTAGTTGTTCCCACATTCTATGCATTTCTCACTATCCAAAGCTACACAATCATGGCACAGCAGATGCCGACAAGGTGTTATAACAGGTAACCGGCACCAATCTCGACACCTGAAGATAGCAATATGAATGTTTGAGCAAGTCAGATTATCTGATTGATAGATAATATGCTTTAGTTATTATTAAACACTTCCATACCTGATACAATCGGTGCCATTTAAAAGAGCAAATCTTATGGATTGATATTCCTCTGAAGAAGGATCAAGACCCCCCTGCATCAACTCATCCATAGTTTCTTGTATATCATGACCAGCCTCTGCTACTTTAATATGCCCAGCAACACAGCAAGACAACCGGACATTTCTTATAGTAGTAGTACGAAATTTCCACTGCTTGGGATTCAGAAGTGATTCAACATGGGAAGGGTCATTCCAATCAGCCATCAGTATATTCCGGCGAATAGTAACGACCAGTTCATTGTAACTTTTCGCATGCCCTTCACTGAAGTCTACAAATGTTATTCTTTTTATGCAAGGAGGGATGTTTTTGAGATCTGCTTTTCTTGCACTAATCATGGACCTCCGAAGTAGCTCTACAAGACGAATGCGCCCCTCTTCCATTTGTGCCTCAAAGGGCCTATGAATTCCAGACTCCCATGAGTGGTAGTTTTCACCATAAGCTTCTTCATGAAGAAACTTGAGCATGGGGTGAAGATGAGCAACCTGACTAGTTGGTGTGTTCGGTGTAGGTGTACCAGTTAAAATCCACCTGTTTGAAGCAACCAAAGAAACGGCCATCTGCAATTTGTTTGTCAGGGCAAGACTGGAACCTAAAGTGTGTCCTTCATCTAATATTACCCTAAACCAATGGATCTGCTTTAAAACACTTTTCTTACTTGGTCCCCATTCTGCGCTTAATCTGCTAAATGTGGTTATGACAATGTCATAGTCCCAAGCAAGGATGTGAGCAGGCGGCCTCTTGTGATCTCCCCATGCATAAACATTAAGTGTATCTGAAGAAACATGACGTTGTATTTGTGTTGTCCAGTGATCAATCAAATTAGCAGGCACAACTATCAAGGTCGCCCTAGATAAATATAACCTCACTAAATCCAGCGGTTTTTCAAGAGCAATTCCAAGCGCGGCCGAGTCGAAGGCCAAATCATCAAGCATAGATGGATAATACCACCGAGTCACACCTTGCTCAATCTTCCTCACAAGGCCGAATGCTTGAAATAACTTGAAATATGGGCGGGCACCCTTGCCTGTGGTTGCCCGTGCATCTAGAACTGGACGTGTCAAACCAACTGATTCCATCTCGAGATGTTTCCTGAGAGGAAGCTGTGCCAACCACAATAAAGCCTTCTTGGTTTCAGAGTTGATCAAAGAAATATTATCTTTCAATATGTTTGCGAAAAATGATACATTCTGCTCATTTCCCGGCAACGCATCTTTCTTGTAAAATCCTGGCAAATAGGTTATCTTTGTCTTGAAATCCCAGGATTCCTCTGAAGCAGTGCATGTCTTCCGTGCAGCATCGGCATTCATACTGCAAAACCAAGCCGTAGTAGAATCGAGAACAGTTCCATCTGATAACCTCCGCCACTTTCTGCAAGCATCACACTGAACCCATGTCTCACTTAACTCGGACGCGGTGCCTCTCTTCCTTTTACTGCCAACTGAATCTTTGCTGTAAGCATCCATGAGGTTTTTCCTGACACTTTTCAAGTTTTTGGTGACCTTTAGTACTTGAGTAGCTGGCGTTGGATGTGGATTGCATGATTCTGGCGACTTCTCACTTGAAACATGCATGTTGACCGGCGATAGACCAGGGTCTACTAACCTGCCTCTCTTCCTTGATGATCTTGTACTGGGAACAGAGTCACCATTATGAGATAGCTCACTTGAACATGGATCTTCTTTAACAACGTTCTTCCCCATGAGCCTTTTTGATTCAGACAAATTGTTTGAACAGTTGCTGGTGTTGAATTCATAGTATCCATACTTTTTATCTGGTTTATGAGTGCACCACTTTATATCCACCCCTCTTGGAGGTTCCGCTAACGTTCCATGCGTTTTGAGAATAAGAGACAATGCAGTCACTGTCTTCCCTAATCCAGGTTCGTCACAGAACATACCTCCACAGAAATCGTTTATGGTTGGAGCAATCCCAGTGAATATTTCACCAGAGGAAACATTTATGAAGAAAGGAAAGCCATCCTCAGTGCAGAAATTCTTGCAGAGAGGATGCGCTAAGGGCTCAGGGTTTTGCTCTCGCCTCAACATCCATTCGACAGCCGCCTCTTGATGAGGAAAAAGCTTAAGCTTCATGCAAGGCATAATAGAGGCAGCAAGAGTCCTTATGTGATGACAAGTAGCTGCCGCTCTTATCAAATCCCCGGGTTTAAGGCGAATCAGCACCTTATTCAATATATCATCAGGAATAGACCAGATACCTATTTCATCCGATATAACATCTGGTATTATTGTTGTTATCTGCATCCCCTTCTCCACCCTAACACTGGGGAGAACTTTGAAGATTTCATGCAGGTCAAATGGCTTGTCATTATTCGATACAGATGATATCTGATGAAGCTCGCAGCCAAGGACATGACAGTCAGTGCAGCTCCAAATATACTGGTCATCAGGATGTGGATTGTCATGAGAAGTCCAGTCAAAAGCAACTAAAGCATTCCTAGCATCCCAGTTGCAACTGCAAAAGAACATTGCCTTAAACTAGGAGTTAAGCAGCATCAACAGGAGGATTGCTGAAATAGTAAACCAAACCTACACACAGAGCTGCAGTACTGATCAACCGTGTGCATAATAAGATAGCTAAAATTAAATGCACTAACCATCTGGAATTAGGAAGCTATCTTGATTAATTTTTGAAATGTCGTGTGGACAAGCCTACAAGCTTCTTACCAATTTCAGTCAAATCATGGTGATCTATCAACATCTGAATTGCAAAAACTTCCATCACAACTTGAGATGCAGGCCAAGTGCATTACTGACTAGGAATTAGCAAATTTGACACATTACTGACTAGCAAGTATCAAATGCAGAGAACATGGGAGGAGAAATTTCTGACGCTTCAGATCATCATAGTTACACAAGGCAGCGAGCTAATAGTAGTAGCAGTGCTAAACTGATCGCACAATGCAGAGAACCAACAGTAGCAGTAATAAATTCCCCGCGTCAGAAGCCTGTAACCGCGACTAATCCCCACCAAAATGACAAAATCCTGCGTGCCCCACACCCCAGCAGGCTCTACACATTGCCTCGGAAGGGAGGGCAAGTGCCGCCCAGGATCCGAAGAAGACGATCGCCATTTAATTTAAAATTCCACCGGGTAGAGTCAGGGGAAACAGACTCAGAGGAAGGGGGGACGCACTGACCTGAGGTGCTTGAACACGGCGGCGGCGGCAGAGGAGCGCGAGCGCGGGAACTTCCACCCGGACCAGGCGGCGACGGGGAGGTACACGTCGACGAGCACCACAACCCTGACCTCCTCCGCCTCCTCCTCCCCCCTGGCGACGACCCGGAGCACCCTGCCCTCCACCTCGACGCAGCGCGCGGCGACGAGCGCCCTGAGCTGGCGCACGACGCTGGTGCCGCCGCCGCCGGTGGCCCGCCACCTGACCGAGCCCCGCGGGGCGAGGCCCGGGCGCCCGCCCGCCGCGTCCTCGGGGAGCGGCGCGAGCGGCGCGGCCCCGCATGCGGAGAGCGAGCAGGGGGCGAGCGGGCGGATGGATTGGGCGTCGGAGGACGGGACCGAGACCACCACGCGCAGGTACCCGCCCAGCTTCCGGTGCGCGGGCGCGGCGTCCCCGCCGCCCGCGGCCACGACCACGGCCATGGCGGGCGACCGGTCAGTTAGGGGGGAGTGGATGCTAGGGTTAGGGCGGGCTAGTGTTCTCCCATTGGGGGAGTCCGGGGGTGTGACGGGTCGCCGCCGCGGCGGATCGCGCGGGAATTTCGTCCTGATTTCGGGTTGGGGTCTGGGGCGGCGAGGTGGAGGTGGAAGAGGGAACGGCGGCAGGAGATCAGGGGATGGATGGGAGGGGAGGGGAGCGAGGCGTGGCGTAAAGTCTCCTCGCGGTTGAGCCTTGATCGGATCGGATGCGCCCGTGTGGCCCCGGTGTGTGCTTACGTCTGTTTTGTTTTTTTGACTGGTGGGGGCGGCTGGTTTGCTGGGCCCGATGCCCGACGGCATAGGGGTTTTATTACCCCTAAAAAAACTAAGATGTAAATTTGGCACCTCGACTTCTGCAAAAGGTGTTGGCTCCTCGACTAGGATGTAAACTTTGTACCTTGACTACAAAGGAAAACACCCCAGACTTGTTCTGTTGATGTAATATAAAGTCGGCCGTAGCAATCGCCCGTTGTGATTTCTGCACTCGTGAAGTAAAGCAAACAATTTTGTGGCTAGGAAAAGAAAAGCCCATAGTTGCATTGCAATTTTAGAGTGTTTCTAGAAATAACTCGAAAAGTGCATGCAGGACTTCAAAATTGCGCTACAATTGTGAGTGTTTTTTTAATAAAAAAACAACTAAAAGCCAGGTGGCACCATGGTTTTATATAAATGTTTTGCAATTTAAAATTCATACATTTTTTAAGACTTCTATATGATACCCCCAGCGTGAGTACTAATGTACCTATACATATATGGGTTTGGTTTTAATATTATTTCTACACACCCGGAAATGTGCGAGAAGTCCCATCATAGCGTCATGAAATTCTTTTTTTTTTGGTGACATGACGAGCCGAAGGCCCAAAGCTATACGTTTTTAATACGTGAGGGGTGAAGAATGTTCGTTTTCAAGTTGAAATACCAAACCTCAACTTTTGAAACAATAGAAGGATCCTAATAAGAATACTAACCATATCATACAATTCACAGAATTTTTTTATTACCATGCTAGAGATGGTCTTAACCAGACTACGACGGGTTTTGCATGTGCGGAAGTCAAGTCAACAACTATGTAATAAAAACTAATACCCATGAATATTTTAAGAAATCTATAAAAAAGGAACAAAGAAATATAATCTAGATAAGTTGGACATATTTCTAAAGTGGCACTAAGATTATTAAACTTCAAAAAGATGGAACGACACAAAGTTAGATCACGCCATGCGTTTACTAGAAGGTTTTTTATGCAATTGGAAATCCAAAGAAAGTTTTGATAGCTTCTCAATAATATCGATGAACTTGCACCATTGTTGTATTTGGTTTTACTAATATGTTTTCTTATTCACTAGAGTGCGATATGTGATAAGCATTGTCATGTGGTGAGGAACCAAATCTATATAGTTTTAATACATGAAGGATCAAGAATGTCCTTTCTTTTCTTACATCTATCGTTATAAGAATACTAAACATATCGTACAATTCACATGGATTTTTTTATGGCAATAAGGCGTCCTTAACAATGATCCGCACCAGTTTTGGCACACGTGGAAATCTAGTCAAGAAATTTGCAATAAAAAAAGCACGTGAATAATTTGGGAAATTTGATTATTTAAAAGATTGTCTAAATAAGTCAGGCATATTTCAAAACAGACACTATAAATTATGAGAATTTAAATAGAAGAAACAATGAACAGTTAGATAGCTCTATATATACTGTATGATTTTACAAGAAGATTTCTGAATTTATTACAATTGGGAACTTAGAGATTTTTCGGAAACACTGACGCCCACACGTGTGGGCGTTTGCATCTCGCCCATCCGCATGGATCTACGTCCGTGTGGGCGTTTGCATCTCGCCCATCCGCATGGATCTACGTCCGTTTGTGGGTGCACGAATCTTGGCATATTTGTGGTGCCACGTAGGACTAGGCTGGTATGTGGGCATTCACCCAGTCGCCCACATGTCCGTTTCACCACATGGAGGGGGCGGTGTGTGGACGTTTAGCAGTTCACCCACACGCTAGTTTTCACTCACGCACAAGGGCTGGTGTGTGGGCATTTGCCATCTCGCCCACACGCCCGTCTTCTCTCTCACACCCAAGCTGCCAGTTGCCATGCGTTTCGCAGTGTACATGGCAACTGCCCTAGCGTGCTTGTAAGCAGATGAAAACTCTTTTTTTAACCCGAACATATCAGTTGTCATGTGTTTTGCAGGGTACACGGCAACTGCCCTAGTGTGCTTGTAAGCAGATGGCAACTCTCTCTTTTATCCCAACATGTTGTTTTGCCATGTCTCTTTGTAGCGCTACACGGCAACTGTCTAGTGTTAGTAGGTGGCAACCTCTAAAGTTTTCAAATCATGACAACTATAGTAAACCAGACCATACATGACAACAGCTGCAGTTGTCCAAAATGGCATCTGGCACTTGATCTGAGATGGCAACTGCAGTTGAGCAATCATGGCAACTGTAGTTGTCCGATATGGCAACTGTAGTTCAGCGACATGGCAACTGCAGTTAAACGGACATTGAAGAGGGTCCGGACCATGGCAACTGCGAGGACGCATGATGACTGTCACGCGGGGCGTGTGGGACTGTGAGGTAGGTGGCTGAGAGAGGTCGTGTGGGCGTTATGCATTTTGCCCACACATGGGCGTGTGAGAGGGACCGCAAGAAAAAATAGACGTGTGGATGCTAGTTATTTTTGCCCACACGTGAGGCATGTGGGTTGATCCCCTTAGACACCACACAAAAAATATGGGCAGACTCCTTAACGCCCATATGTGTGGGCGTTATCGGCGTCCAGTTTTTTTTATCACCTCGCTAGAATATTAATGAACTTCAGTATCAATATTTGGTTTTGCTACTAAGCATGATTTTTCATTCAGCAGGCTGCTGTGTGCGAGAAGCGTTGTCATGCCATCATTCAAAACTATCTTTTAGTGATGCACGGAAATCAAAGCTAATAGTTTTGATGAAGGGTCAAAATTGTCTGTTTTTGAAAGTTGAAATAGCAAACTTTGACTTTTGAAACAACTGAAGGTTAGTAAATGACATTTCTCTTCATAGACTAGCTACAGTGGGAGTAACTTCAGCAGTAACATCGAGTCCAACTCAGCAAATTTGCTTATGTCATATTGAGTTAATGAGGAGAGAGATAGTTACAGTAACTTAGCTAGTTATTGTAATATCACATGTCCCAAAGCAATATGCGTCTATAACCTAATAAATGATTGTTTGCATGTTACCGCACTTATGTTACTACCCACTATGAAGGTAGTAATATAGTCTAGAATATGTGTATGTTAATAGTGTATGTTACTCTCCATTGTGACTAGTCTAAAGAATACTCTTTGTGTGGATTGGCACAAAGTAAAGCATGCTGAGTCACCGAAAATCCATGGACGCATTTATTTATTACATTTAAACGCATTGCAAATATTACAACAAACATAGGACGTCTTACGAAAAACCATCAATACCTGCATACAGCTCAACAACGAACAAACAACAAGACGCTTTTCACCTAAAAGGCAGACGAGGATGAGAGGACATATAGGCCGTGCGGTGATAATTTACGTAGTACGCACGTAGCCTTTTACCTTGCAATCAAAGAGCCGAAATGAAGCACACGCTAAATCATGTACGCACTCTTTTTTTTTACGTGCCTTTAATGTGCGTGTTACGCTTGGCGCACGTACGTGCTCGTGGCCTACTTTGGCTGGAACTTGGACCTGATGCTTTCCACCACGCCGCCGTCGGTCTGCAGCGCCCGGGCCAGCACGTCCGTCGGCACCGCCGGTGCCGCCCCGAACATTGCCTCGCCGAGCCTCTGCGTGCCGGGGAGCTGGCTGTCGAACGCTGAGATCGCCACGGCGGGCGCCTCGCCGACGCTGCGCTCGTAGTGCATCATGCCGCGCGGGAACACGAAGACCCCGCCCTTGGGCACGCCCCGGGTGATGTGCCTGCCGGAGGTGGTGACGAAGCCCACCTGCAGGGTCCCCTCGGCAACGAAGAGGATCTCGGTGGCGCGCGGGTGCGAGTGCGGCGGGTTCGTGCCGCCCCACGGCGCGTAGTCGACCCGGGACATGGACACGCCCAGCGTGTTGAGCCCCGGGAGCCTCTCCACGTCCGCCGCGGTCACCACGGAGCCCATCGGGTTGCCGCCGCCGTACACGTCGGCCGCGCTCGCCAGCCCGGCGTAGAAGAAGTCGTCCGCCGTCACGTTCTCCGCAGGCTTGCACGGGTACCCGTTCACCCTCAGCGCTGCACACACATATGAAACATGACACAAACGCATGCATTCCGGTCAATGGTCGATCATGCATGCACAACGAAATGAGAATTGGCCAGTCACTCACGTCCCTGGAGGGAGATGTTGTCGGCGACGCAGAGGTCCTGGAGCATGTCGGGGTCGCCGGCGAGCGTCGACGGCGCCGCAGCGAGCGCCAGGAGGGCGGCGCAGGCGGCGAGGAGGACAGCACAAAGCTTTGCCATGATTAGTAGTTAACCTTGTTGGTCCTTGGGCCTGGAACGCTACCTTGCTGGTAGCTCGTGAGCTAGCTAATTAGATGATTAACTTTCGGCTTGGTGAAGAGGGGGAGCTTGGGAGGTGGTATTTATAGATTTGAACGTAGTTGGTTAAGGCGCGTGAACGATGGGTCTATCTGTCATGTCTCATGTGATCACTACAGTTAATTACCAATCATGTCTTAAGGGTTGGGTTGGTGGAGCTAGCTACTAGTATAGGTAGTGCTTAATAGTTAATACTTCCTTTTCAGGACAAACAATGTTGCTTGTCACGTGAACTGACGGTGCAAACCATATCGTACGTACAAACTATTCATGCAAAACTGTCACGCATGCTGCATCTTATACACAAGTGTCAGCATGGCACACCTCTTTAGTTATACTCAATTCACATGCATGTCTCTTTCTTTTTATTATATGATGAGCTATATTTGTGTGCACGTTCACATGTATTTTGTGTACGGGTCTATTGGCCTAAACGCAAAGTTGTTAAAACAGAAATTTTGGGCTAAAGCGGCACTCACAAAGTTGGTATATGCCTTTGCATCACCATAATTTAAACAACCTCGTAACCCCTATATTTCGAGAATGTGAAGGTTCGGTGTGAAGCTCGCTCAAAATCCCAACCCTCAATGCAGGAGGGAAGTTTCAGCTTCGTCCTCCTCACGCCACGACCGAATTTTCAAGTTGTGCGGCCTACGATGCATCACAGGCGAGCAACCACTTGGCCATTAATCCATCAGATTTCCGTGGCGGCCCATCGGATGGACACCACGCGAGATCATCTCCTGCCTTGCATGTGAGCAGGCCGGAAGGCGACTTAGCGCGGCAAAGTTTCCCACTAGGAAGCGTGCCCCTTGATGGCGCCCATAGTGGCCTATAGAAGGCTGCCACCCCTCCCTTCTCTACCCTACTCGAACCCACCCGCCGGTCCCTCCCAATCCCCTCCATTCCCCACTCCAAGCCACCTTGATGCCTTGGTGTAGCAGTACGAGCTGCCCCTCACCTTCAGCTTTGGGGATGATGAATCCAAGCCGGGTGAACTGTATCTTCTGTTGCCGCATTGGGACCAATACGATATAGTATTAGACCTTCATGGCGACGGAAGAGGACCCCGTAACCGCGCCCATCTCCATCCTCACGCCTGTGGCGGAGGATCCGATTGACGAGGAAGAATTCTAGGCCATACGGGCCCTCGTTGAAGCATTCCCCAACGCCCCTGACAAAGCGCCCATGCCCAATCCCTTCACCGCAATCGTCGTGGCTGCAACTAGTTTAGTTTATTAATTTAGTTTTATGAACATAAAATCACTTACCCATTTTTTCTCCTCTTATGTAAGAAGTTTGTAATGGGGTATTAGCTTAAATTAATGTTTTAAATCCATTAAATTGAGGGTTTTACTATTGAGTTGATGCAACAAGAAAGCAAAAAAAGATAGAGGCGTCCATTTTTGTTACTGCATTTGCACACAAGCCTAGTAGCCTCCATATCCATATGAAACGCGCTCCATATATGATGGATGGCGAGCACAACTATGTCGACTCCGCTAGAGTTGCTATAAGAAGTCAAGCTTGTTGCGTATATGTAAGCTTTTAGTGTGTGGTGTACAACATTAATTTACGGTTGACGTTCAAACTATGTTTTTTTTGTTTTGTGTTTGTTTTTTCCCCTTCTTTTGCGTTCAAATTTGTAAAGACATAACATTGTGTTATTAGTTTTCTGACTTTGTGTTGTTCAATACTAAGCAAATATATCAAACTTATAGGAAATAACTTACATTTTGAAGTTACACAAATCCTCTTTGTAAAGGTCCATAGGTGTGACATTACTAATACTTTTCTTAAACACTGCATATATTAACTAGTACAAAAGATTACAACCGTTTGTTACAAATTTCATCATGCATGACCGGACATCCCCATATAACAACCCATTACCTCTATGATTTAAACAAAACCTATCAATCTCACAGGCCACCTTGTTATTCTCTCGGTTGATCTTCTCTATAGTGCATTTAGGACTTGGAGCAAGAACTCCTAACGCTTCGTTCTTCAGGTCAACGAGAGCCAGTCCATCTTGGACATTAGTAGACAAGTTATTTTTATGAACCAGCAGGGAGTCTTTAGAACAGAAAACTTATGCAAAGTAACTGGAATGTACAATCCTACAATACAAAGCCCGGTTCTCTGCTTCCTCCATAGATGTGCAGCATGGCAAGAAGTCCCCAAATGGGAGGAGCAGCACTCCATCATGATCTCTTATTACCACGCCAACGGTAATGAAATTCTAAATTTGACCAAACACATAGAAAAAATATCATCCAACCAAATCATTTGCCATATATTTTCAAAATATAAATTGGATATCATATATATATATATGATACTTTTATCTATACAGTTTGTTAAACTTAAAGAAAATTTAAATCCCCCCCCATTAATGTGATTATTAAAAATACAATTTCCATCTATACAATGCCATTATCTCTTCCTGAGAAGAATTGATTAGATTTTCGCCTTGTACGATGATGTTTATTGATGCAAACATTGCATGCAGTCGTAGAGAAAGAGGCACTACATGCAACGTGTTTAATTAGCCCGAGATTAAAATATGTGATGAGAAATTAAAATACGTCGGAGAAATTAAACGTGCGGAGGCACCACTATCTCTTCCTGGTTTGGCTTGGGAGTGGACGGTGAGTGCGAGGAGAAATGGACAAGATACATGTGGGAGATCGAAGTGTACGCGACGGCCTCTTGCTTTTCCGAACGAAAAAAAATCCGATGACGTGGCTGGTCTTACTTGCTCCAAGATTCGTGTTGGATCCAACGGTCCATGGTACGTTCGATCCCAACAGCTAAAAATCTGATGTAAGATTTTCGGCCAGGAGGGCGGCGTAGACGGCGAGGAGGACGGGGTAGAGCTTGGCCATGATTAGCAGTTAGTCTGCTTGGTCCTTAGACTTGGCTCGATCGCTAGCTGGCTGGTAGTTATATAGCCCGTGAGCTAGCTAATTACGTCGATGAGACGAACTTTCGGCTTGGTGAAGAGGGGGTGCCTGGGATGTGATGGTAGTAGGTTAAGTCCTAATGAAGGCGCGTGAACGATGGGTCTATCTGTCATGTCTCATGTGATCAGTACACTAATCAAGTGTGAGGTAGAAGAAGAGGAGGCTACGTACGTACGTACGTACGTACGAGCTTGATCGATCGTCTGGTTTGGTGGAGTTTCAAGTTTGTTAGGCGACGTACGTAGAACGTGGGAGGTACGACGGTGAGCAGTGCTTAAAACTTCCTTTTCAGGACAAATAGCGTTGCTTAACCATATCGTACGTACGAACTATCCTTGCAAAACTGTCACGCATCCATGCATCTTTTGCATAAGTGTCAGCATGGCGCACGTACGTCTTTAGTTATACTAAACTCGCATGCATGTCTCTTTCTTTTTATTTTATGATGACGTGCACGCTATATTTGTGTGCACGTTCACATGTATTTTGTGTACATGCCCATTCGCCTAAACACAAAGTGTGCAGTAGGTACTGAGGTCTATCAGAGTTGCAATATTGGACCAATTGTCCTAATAAACCACCAAAACAGAAAATTTGGGCAAAAACGGCACTTACAAGGTTGCAATATGCCTCTGGATCATCATAATTTATAAAAGACGCTCCGTAAACAACCTCATAACCTCCATATTTGTAGAATGTAAAGGTTCGGTATGAAGCTCGCTCCAAATCCCAGCCGTCACTGCAGGAGGGAAGTTTCAACTTCGTCCTCCTCATGCCACAACCGAATTTTGAAGTTGTGTGGCCTGCCATGTGCCATAGGCGAGCAACCACCTGGCCATTAATACCACACTCCCTTCATCAGATTTATGTGGCAGCCCATCGGATGGACACCACGTGACATCATCTCCTACCTTCCATGTGAGCAAACCGGAAGGTGACTGAGTGCGGCAAAGTTTTCTCACTGGGAATGTCCCCCTTGATGGCGCTCGCAGTGGCCTATAGAAGGCAGCCACCCCTCCCTTCTCTCCCCTACTCGAACCCACCTGCCGGTCCCTCCCAATCCCCTCCCCACCACCCCAACTCCAAGCCAACTTGATGCCATGGTGCAGTAGTATGAGCTACCCCTCATCCAGCTTTGGGGATGAAAATCCAAGCCGGGCGAACCGGATCTCCTGTTGCCGCATTGGGACTAATATGATATGGTATTGCACCTCCTCGAGGCAATGAACTAGGACCGCATAACCGCACTCGTCTCTATCCCAGCACCCGTGCCCGGAGATCCGGCTGTCGAGAAGGAATTCCAGGCCACACGGCCCCTTGTCGAAGCATTCCCCAACGTTCTCGACAAAAAGCAAGCGCCCAATCCCTTCATCGCAATCACCATGACTGCAAGTAGTTCAGTAAAATTAATTTAGTTTTGTGAATGTAAAATCACCGATTAACTTTTCTCCCCCTATGTAAGAAATTTTAATGCAATATTAGCAGAAATTATTATTTTAATCCATTCAATTGAGGGGTTTACTATTGAGTTGACGCAACAAGAGAAAACAAAAGATAGAGGCATCCGTTTTGGTGACTCTATGTTTGCACACAAGCCCAACAGCCTCCATATCCATATGAAGTGTGCTTCATATATGACTGATGGCGATTGCAAATATGGCGACCCTGGTAGAGTTGCTATAAGAAATGAAGGTAGTTGTGTATATGTAAGTGTTTAGTGTATGGCGTACAACATTATTTTATTGTTCACGTTCAAACTATGTTTTTTTATTTTGTGTTAGTATGGTTGTTTTTTGTTTGCGTTCAATTTTGTAAGGACGTAATGTCGTGTTTTTTTTCTGACTTTGTGTTGTTCAATACTAAGAAAATATATCAAACTTATAGGAAATAACTTACAAAGGTGGAGTTACGCAAATCCGCTTCATAAAAGTCCATAGGTGTAGCATTACTAGTAATTTTTTAACCACTACAAGATTACAATCCGTCGTTACAAACTTTGTCATGCATGACGGGACATCCCCGTATAACAATCCATTAACTCTATGATTTAAACAAAACCTAGCAATCTCATATGCCACCTTGTTCTTCGTCTCTCGGTTGATTTTCTCTATAGTGCATTGAGGAATTGGACCAAGAACTCCTAACGCTTCTAATGCTTCCTTCTTCAGGTCAACGAGAGCCGGCCCATCTAAGGCATTATTGACAAGTCATTTTCATGAACCGGCAGATAGGTTAGCTAAGTTCTCTAATACACTAGAGCAGGGGCGCCATTTGTGGTTGATCCATCTCCATGATCCTTTTTGTACACCACTTTATGTGGTTTATGATCAATAAAACTTAGCTTCACCCCTAATAAAACCGGAGAGACAGTCGTCAGAATGGAAGGCTTATGCAAAGTAATTGAAATGTACAATCCTGCAATACAAGCCTTGTTCTCCGCTTCCTCCACATATGTGCAACATGGCAGGAAGTCCGAAAATGAGAGGAGCGCCACTCCCTCATACTCTTAGGCTGGTCGTAATGGTAGTATCATAGCTAGTATCATGCATGCCAACTAGGCAATTTTGATGAGGTGTAATAGAATTAAATGAAGAAAGAGAAGGTAGAGTATCATATCATGATACTGTATCATAATAAATGCTATGCTACTTTGTGTCATGCATGGCAATAAATAAAATACTATATGATACTAGTACATGATACTATGCATTAGGGAGGTAGTATCATACACTAATATCATATGCATGATACTAGTATATGATACTCCCCATTATAACTGATGAGGACATCAATACTATTGTTACACCCACAGCCCCTACTGTTACATATACTGGACCAATTACTAGAGCTCGCGCACGCCAATTAAATTACCAGGTACTTTCGTTTCTTGGTAATGATTCTAATGTTCATGAGATTATGATGCTGCCTAAATTGGATACATTTGTTTTGCTTTCAAATGAAGGGCCTAGCTTGGAGAAGGATGAACATTGGAGCAAGAACACGCATGGAGTTGATGGCATGCGCAAGGGGATCAAGAACGGAGTTACAAGTGATGATTTCAGGACTTTGAAGCCGCCATAAGGAGTGCATGAAGCCATGGACGAAATATACAAGATGCCACTTCATAATATTCGTCCATAGGCTATTCTAGGTGCTGCGTCACCTTATTAATGGGCCAGGCCCATGTAATTTCGAAATACTTAAGTATAGGCTATTTTTAGAGTCCGTATGTGTGGGGAAACAAGAGTTAGGGTTGGTTTCGGACCCTACCCTCAAGGGCCACGAAATTCCCCTCTCTTCCTCCATATATACAGCCCTTAGGGCGTCGTTTAGACTTCGGGATTTGTTTAGTTAAAAGTTCGCCATTGCAACTTCGTGTAATTCGTTTGTGTCCAACGACCAGACCAAGACCGCTTCCGGATCCCCACCATTATCAATACTTCATATATATTTGCGATATTCAGATTGCTTTATCATATTCTTGCTCGTTCTTCGATTGCTTGTAGGAATAGACCTTCGTGGTCAGGCTGACCGTGCTTCCAGCATCGTCAGTAACCTCAGGAGATTGGTTTAGCGGTTGCTAAGGCGCAACGTCGTGCACGTTTGTAGTCGGATCGTCAAAGTCGTCTCCACCAAATCGATAGTTATCATCTCATCGAAAGATCGGGACCCTCGCCTCTATCAAGTGGTATCAGATTTCCAGGTTGCTCGGTGAGATTTTTACAGTTTTTCGTAGATTAGATCGAGTCTGTTCTTCATACCTACAGTCCACGAAAAAGCCACAAAAAAATTAGGGTTAGTTCATCATATCCGAACCAATCTGAGCCTTTGCATAATCTTTTTAGGGTTTTTGCTTTGTTGAATTTGCGGTTGCATCGTCGTGTCAAGTTGCTGGTCTTAGAGTCTAGTCTTTTAGAGTTTCGAGTTCTGGTCATAAGTTGTCACGCCGCCGCCGCACCATCATCATCGCCCATCTACCACCATTGCTTATCCGCCACCGCTCTGAATCCGTATCCATATACCACCACCAATCTGTAACAATATATCCACCACCAATCCGAGTTCTTCTCATATTAGGTTTGTTCTTGAGATCAATCTCAATTCCGATTCGTGTTTCCTTGCCTGCGTAGGTCTCGAAAAAAAAAGAGTCTGGGGACCCCCGGGCAGTTTTTAGGCCAAAATTTTCATGGGCAAAAATATTTTTTCCCTATCCTATTGTTAGGCTTTTCTGAGTCTTTTGAGCCACGTGCCATCATAGTGATTTTTTGTCGCACTTTTTCATCGTCGCTGCCCTGATTTCCGAAAAAAAAGTGAAAAAAATTGCGTGCCCATCCTATCAGTTTGACGAGGGAAGAGTTTTGAGACACTCACCATTACAGTGATTTTTCGCAAAAAAAAGAGGAGCGCAAAAAAAAAGAGGAGCACAAAAAAAAGAAGTGTTCCAGAGTGTGCTTTTCCCTTATTTACGTGCAGCGCCGTGATTTTGTTAGTGTTCTAGGCTCGCGTCTATAGCACGGTCTAGCCTAGGACCAGCACAGTACCGTCGTTGAGCGTTTATTCAACTTTGCATCTCTGAATTGATTATTGCTGACCCTTTTTGCTACCATATTATAAGCCTTCCCAGCTCCACATACATCTACGTCGTGCGTTTGACTCTCCCTGGTAATCGCTCTATCCAAGCTTTGAGAGTTTTGACTACGACGGTTGCCGATCACCGCCTGCTGCTGGGTAAGAACTGGTAAGAATTTGAGATTGGCTTGACGGATTTGTGACACCACCACCACCTCTTGTTAGTATTCTGTAGGATCATATTCTTGTGTGTTTCTATTGTTGCTAACCATGGCAGGATCACAAGCCGACGAGACTGACTGGGAGAACATGACGAATCAGGAGTTGCATGATAAATTTCAGCAAATGATGAA